GGGGGGGGGGGGGGGGGGTACTCGTATGTTTTGCATGCCTTAGCGGTTAGACCATTGACCACGCGTCCTCGAGAGGACGGAGCATTGTTCCCACAGGACCGGTCACCGATGGCCAATTGTTCCTTCCTACTTTGCCAAAGGTGGCTCAAAAATGTCTTTCCTAGTCTGTCTATCCTAACGATATCTCTTCCCGCCTTTTCAAACCACTTCCTACTCCCCAGTACAGCTACCGTCCTCTCCTCTCTATTCCATGCCTCAAACATCTCCCTGTACGTCCCTTGTATTTTTCCTCTTCCATCCCGCACATGCGATACTGCCATGTCATCTTCCTTGCGTCTCTTCCCGACCGTAGGGATTGGATCCCCAATTCTGCCCTGACGGCTGCACTACTTGTGCGCTTGGAGCATCCTAGGATGATTTTCGCTGCTTTCATCTGCGCCGCCTCGAGTTCTTTCACTACCTTCTTATTTCCTTCCCATACGTCTCCGGCGTACTCTAGCGGCGGTACGATTACGTGCTTGAAAACCGTCAATTTGATGCGTGTATCGAGGTGCCGGTTTGCGAGTATTGGGTGCAGCTTCCCTGCTCGTGCTTTGCCCTTTTCCGCTACCTTGGACATGTGTGCATTCCACGAGCAGTCTTTTGCGATCTCTACTCCGAGGTATGTGTACTGGTCCACTACTGCAATCTCCTCGATCCCCCACTTCCATCTATGTTCTACTGGTTCCTCCCTGACCTCGTTGCACACCATGACGGCACTCTTCGTAACGTTGGCAGACTATCTCCACTTATCAGTAAACTTCTTCGCCGCGTCAATTTGTAGTTGCAGTCCCTCAGGGGTGTCCGACATACCAACAAAATCATCCGCAAACAGCATTCCTGACACCGAAGTTTCCGTGTCCCCTACTTTTACTCCCTTCCGGACTGCCTCTACGACTTCCAACAGATCGTTGATGAACACCTGGAACAATGTTGGGGACAGCGTGCAACCTTGTGGGACCCCCTGCTCAATGTCGAAGAATTTAGACAGTTCTCCGTCTAGCATGACCGCGCTTTTCGTACACTCTGTCATCTTCTTCAGCACTCTCCACATTTTCCCCTTGATCCCGAACTTGGACAATTATTTCCACAGCCCATTTCTCCATACGGTATCGTATGCCTTTTTCACGTCCAGGAAGAAGCAGTACGTCGGCTTTCCCGCCCTCTTTCTACCTTGGATGATTCTCCCTACCCTGAATGCGTGGTCTACGCACCCCCTCTTCTGTCGGAAACCTGCCTGGCCCTCACTAATGCTACGTTCCTTCTCCAATACTCCCACTATCCTATCGTTCAGCAGCTTACAAAACACTTTTCCTACTGTGTTCAACAGTGTGATACCCCT